GGCTTGATACCGAGGAAGGTCAGGAGCATAAGCGCCAGAAGAGTCGCAAGGTTCGAACCACGATCTCTCCAATCTTTATTTTCATCCAATTCATCCTTCATCCTAGGCTCGGAAACGACAGAAACCGCGCGATTCGACGACTGCCAACGGGGAAACACCAGCTCAAAGTGCTCGCGCGTTGATGCAAAGGAAAAAGACGTTTTCGAGGCGAATTAATTATGCGGCCGTGGAAAAGCTGTTTGAAGAACCGAGTGTGAAGAATAAGGGAAAGAAGTCGGCGAATGAACCGGTTGATGACGCGGACGGGGAGGACAAGGACGAGGGAGGCGAGAAGTATGATGATGAGGGGGCGGGAGATGTGGGCGAGATGGACTACTATGATGATGGATATCAGGAGGAAGTTTGATTGTTTGTATTTTTGTGGGATGTATGCGATTCAACTAGTTAAAACTAATAATATGGACTCCGACGCGCAAAGGATAATGCGCACGGCTATACACACATAATGCAAGTTTGTTCCTGAACAAGGCACAGCACGCAGCCACAAACATTGTTCCCGAGCGCGCTCTACTAGAGCTGAAGGCGAAAATTAATAGCTAGCCATAAAGCCTCGTTCATAACCGCGGCTACCAGTGGTATCAGTGATTGCTAGCAGGCCGAAATCACACGGGAGGTGGTATATAGATCATACAACATGACCTTCTTTACAACTTAGCCCTCGTTCCATAGTAGCCCCCTGTCTTTACTATGCTTCCCTTGAAGGTCTTTGGCTCTATTTCCACTATCATGTATATGTTCATAGCTTTTCCCAACCAAACCAACGCCCAAGAACAGGAGGGTCCCCAGCCAAGCAGACGAGCCAGTCGCCTGGCTAGAGCTGGTTATTTCTGTCCCACAGGGACGAAGATGTGCGGGGTATGGAGCGAATGGCCCCAGGGATCCCGGCGAGCGTACGAGTGCGTTAACACCTGGAGTGATCTTGAAAGCTGTAAGCTGTTTTCTTAAAACCGCTTTAAGCTCGGCTGTTATACATTTTTCCACTAGGCGGTGGATGTGTTAACCCACTATTAGGTGAACAGGCAACTGGCCGTGATTGTACCGAGATTCCGGGCGTAGCCGCTGTTCAGTGTTCAGCTGGGTTGTGTCGAGTAGAATCGTGTCAACGGGGTTGGGCGGTTTCGGATGATAGCCAGTTATGCAGGGCTCTAAAGTAGCGTTGTATCGCGCATACTAAGCCAGCTGTACGCCATGAGCACAGTTTGAATTCTTTCTACGCATTTGTCCCGGCGACCTTGTATTCTCCTTCTTGCCTTGTCTCATTTCTCTCCCTTAGTGTCGATACATAAGGCTTACGTTTATTCGACATAAATCTGATTCATTTTTTTTTTATTTTTAAAAAAGCCAGTTGTATATGCTTGGGATGCTTTCTACTCTAGCTAGTTGCTAACGGGTATTACTTGCTTATCGAACATACTCAATTGGTTAAGAAGCAAATTACCCCAACCGCGATGTTCGACGTCGTAGGCCTGTATACCTAAGTTCATAGCTACTTCTTTCAACGAGGCGGCTTGAGAATATTTCTATCGGATACCACAAATGGCTCGAGTGTCAGTCAGATAACTGCCTACGCGTCTAAATTTTTGCACTTCATTGGGGTTGACTATCATCGGCAAGGTATTAGCGAGCGATCAGTACACGAACGGTGCTGAAATAGATGAGTGGCCTGAAATTTCATTTCCAATTGCTGGATTTGACTGATTTCAGGGTCCTGATCTAAGGCTTCAAAAAACTGATCGGTCGAAACTTTTTGTGGTCAACCCCTTGGTCAACCCTCACAGCAACATGGTTCTCACTCATCCCTCCATCGTCGGTGTGTTATGCTCTATGCTCTACGGTTAAAACATCTAACACCCCCTGCAGACGGCTGGTTCCGCGAAATCAACTCGCAATGGCCAGGTGTGTAGATAATTTTGGAATGACTCGCTCGCGCTGAAACTTTTCATTAGGCCAGGCCATGACGCTCAAGGTCAACCGGATCTTGCATGTCGAGCAGAGCAAATATCAAGACGTTCTTGTGTTTGATTCTGCAACGTTTGGAAACGTGTTGGTTCTGGATGGAGTTATCCAGTGCACAGAGCGCGATGAATTTTCGTACGTCATCTAATTTACTCCCAATTGGGCTGAAGCTGATGATAAAATAGCTACCAGGAGATGATCGCACATCTACCCCTTGCTTCTCATCCCAACCCGAAAAGGGTCCTCGTTATTGGTGGAGGAGACGGTGGTGTAGTCCGTGAAGTCCTCAAGCACGACACCGTTGAGGAAGTCGTTCTCTGCGACATTGATGAAGCCGTCATCCGTGTCTCCAAGACCTACCTCCCGCACATGTCGAGCCTCCTCGCCGACAAGCGTGTCACGGTCTACGTTGGTGATGGATTCGCGTACCTCCAACGCAATACTGCTCAGTTTGACTGCATCATCACCGATTCGTCCGATCCTGTTGGCCCGGCCAAGGCGCTCTTCGAGAAGCCCTATTTCGAGCTATTGAGGGATGCGCTAGCGGACGGTGGACATATCAGTACCCAGGGCGAGTGCTTATGGATTCATCTGCCGCTTATCAACGAGCTGCACGAGACAACCAGCAAGCTTTTCCCTGTCGCTGAGTACGCATTTACCACAATTCCTACATACCCTTCTGGTCAAATTGGATTCACTCTCGCCTCTAAAGCTGAGGGACGGGATTTACGCACGCCTGTTCGGCAGCTAGAGGGATGTCGGTATTGGAACCCGGATGTGCACCGAGCGGCGTTTGTACTTCCCGAATTTGGACGTGCGATGTTGAAGGAAGGCAAGGATCTTTTGCCGCATTTAGGACCGGTTTTAGAGGGTGGAGCCAAGGAGCGCAAGGTCTTGTTGCTCGGGAGCGGGTATGTTGCACGACCTGCTGCAGAGTATATCTTGCGTGACCCTCGCAATCGCTTGACTATTGGTAAGTGGATGTTCTTCGAATTTATGGCCCGTGCTGATTTATTTTCTCGACTAGCCTGTCGTACACTTGCTACTGCGCAAGCTATGGCTGAATCTCTCCCGCGTGCCACTCCGATCTCCTTGGACGTTACTTCTTCCGACCTCGAATCTCAAGTTGCGGCACATGATCTAGTTATTTCGCTCGTCCCCTTTACACATCATGCTACCGTTATCGAGGCTGCAATCAAAGGAAAGACTCATGTGGTCACAACATCCTATGTCTCTCCCGCGATGCGTGCCCTGGACGAGAAAGCCAAGGAGGCGGGTATCATTGTCTTGAATGAGATTGGGTTGGATCCTGGTATCGATCATTTGTATGCGGTCAAGACAATTGATGAGGTTCACGCCAAGGGCGGAAAGGTATGCTCTTCCGTCCTAGCAGATTTATGCGTCTAATTTTGGCCTTAGATTAAGCAATTTTTGTCTTATTGTGGCGGTCTTCCCGCGCCCGAAGCTTCGAATAACCCTCTCGGGTACAAGTTCTCTTGGTCTTCGCGCGGCGTACTATTAGCGCTCCTCAACACTGCGAAGTACTACGAGGCTGGCGAGGCCAAGACTGTTGCTGGCAAGGAACTCATGGGCGTGGCCAAGCCATATTATGTCACGCCTGCGTATGCTTTTGTCGCGTACCCCAACCGGTAAGCTTGTTGTTTTAGCGCTCCTAACTTGATTCGAACTGTTCGCATATAGTGATTCGACTCCGTTCCGCGAGTGGTACAACATCCCGGAGGCGGAGACGGTCGTGCGCGGTACGTTGAGGTACCAAGGTTTCCCGGCGTTTATCAAGGCGTTGGTGGACATTGGATTCTTGAACGACGAAAAGAAGGAATATCTCGCCGAGAGCACAAGCATCAACTGGTCCGAGTTGACATCCAAGACTGTTGGCGCATCCTCTACCGATGAAGCGTAAGTCCGTATTATCTTTGTTGTCAACCCCATACCTCATAGCCCACTTTTAGTGCGATTATCGACCGCATCAAGCAGCTCACGTCCTTCCCCGATGCCTCTGAGGAGGCGCGCATTCTCTCTGGCTTGCGCTGGCTCGGACTATTCTCTACCGAACTCGTTGCACCTCGTAGCGGAAACTTGCTTGATACGCTATGCGCACGATTGGAGGGTCTGATGGCGTATGAAGAAGGCGAGCGAGATCTTGTGATGCTCCAGCACAAGTTCTTCGTCGAATGGTCAGATGGGAAAACTGTAAGTGTACATCCTACAACTCACATGCACAAGTTAAGCTTACCGCCTCAAAATGTAGGATATCATCACTTCTACTCTCGAAGCATACGGCGAGCGCGGCGGGTATAGCGCCATGGCTCGTACGGTGGGCGTGCCGTGTGGTATTGCTGTGCAACTTATCCTCGATGGCGAGCCCGCTTTGTCGAAGCCTGGTGTACATGCGCCTTACACCAAGGAGATTTGTGATCCGTTGAGGGAGAAGCTCGAGGCGGAGGGAATTGGAATGGTTGAAAGGGTGCTATAGTTGAATTGAAAACTTAGGGAATGTATAGTTGAATGCCAGATCTAGAGGCAAGCAATAAATATAGCTGGTATGCCCTAGCGCGGCGTGTGCTTCAATTGGAATCCGCTTTGGTCGTTGGCGCTGCATCCCAGTGCAACGTAAATAACATCCGCGAGTGGTTTGATAATCTTACCTGCGAAGGTTGTGGTCGTGTAACAGCAAGCCAAGTAAGAGTCTAGATAGTGAGTATATGCGCAGTCTGGGGCCAGTTGCGTTGAGTTGTTGGGGTGATACTACCCAACATGCGCCGTCGAGGGTAATCTGTAACAGCTAAGCCAAGCCAAGCCAGTATAAGAGTAACGAGCTGCGTTTCTATGAGGTGTTATTTAGACAAAACATCGCTGAAGGCCAGCTACTGGTGTGATACAGGACAAAGCTTATACCTAAAAGTTACATCGAGGCGATTTGAACCTGCAAATATTCTGATACCCTGATTGAAGCCACTCGTTAAGCCCTTATAGCTCAGTGGTAGAGCGCATCACTCGTACTACGGTACGTTAATTTGCGTTATGCCTGCGTAATGATGAGGTCCATTGTTCGATCCAGTGTGGGGGCAACAATTTTTGCTTCCTAAAACCACTTGGTTTTCTATAGGGAGCATAGAGAAGTAGCGGGAGTTTATATTTAGTTTAGTATAGTGAGGTGAAGAATCGGTAGTCGAGCAGGACGGGCTAAGGTGCGGGTGTGCTAGGTGTAGAGCAGAAGGCCAGAGTGATTATGGTCGGGAATACGATCTAGGAAAAGGACCAGGATGCTTAAAGGCAGGAGGGCGGAGAAGTGGAGGTTGAGGAAGATGTCGTTAGTGAGGGCGGGGACGTAGAGGCGGGTGGGAGCGAGGAAGACAAGGGAAATGGCGAGGGGAAGAAAATCGCGCTTGAGGAAAGATGTTATGGTCAGGTACTACTGGACTTGCCCCTCCTGTCGACTCTAAGTCTGAAGCTGGGTCGGATTCGGACCCCGCTAGCGAACGAAGCGTCCAGGTCGCTGTCGACCAAACGATCGAAGGAAACGTACGTACTGTCTCACCTTTCGGTCAACTCCACTCTCATTTTTTTCTGGGCTTTCAGCTCGGGTCCGGGGGGGGGGGCTTTCAGACTTGAAATCAGCACCTAAATGCAAAGAATTGCGTATGGCGACCGATACAGTAGTCATGTCCTTTTCTTAGCTCGTTTGAATGCTCATGTCGGAGCTCTAAATCTTGAAAAAAGCCGCCAACTTATTTAGCACAGCTGGCGTTAGAAACCGGAACCGGGGTCATAAAACACCTCATTCGCCAGACTCGAAGGTATTCACTACTTATGTGCGGACATATTGACTTATCACGTATGTTATCGTGTTAGACTACGTTTATTTAATAGTCATTGTATCGTACTGTGAATCCTTTCTTGGTGCATCCTGAGAATAGACTTACCGCGGCAAGCCGACATTGGTGAACAGATAGCTTCAGAACATGACTTAGAAGCGCGCATATAGCCGAAAACAGCCGGGATGTGCCTTGGCGTTTTCATTGCAAAAAGGCTTATCTCAGCCTGTGCTCATCACAGCAAGAGCGCTCACAACGACGCACCCGACATTGATCCACCATACTCTCTTCCAGACCAGCAGCTTCCACTCCTCTCTTGCTCTCACACAAGTGACTAGAGCTATAACATGGAAGAGAACATAGGACAGGGCGTAAACATCGTTGTTTTCGGTGAGCGATAAGTCTCTCGTCCTTAATGACACGGCGCTAATTTGGTACGACAGAGGGCGGACTCGCCGGCGGGTTATCTTCGCTCATGATCTTCAAGGAGCTCATGGCTAGAGTCTATGCCGCCGGCGGGAAGCAGCAGGTCCGCAAGCTATTTAAGATGATGGCAGGGACGGGCACGGGGGCGTGAGTGATCACGACTGCTCCGGTGGTCGAGGGGTACTGACCGTGGACTGAATCCGCCTTGTATCGTACAGGCTAATCGCATGTGTGCTAGTGCTGCTAGGATTGAATGTAGACCAGGCGATAACTGCCTACTCGAAGCTCGTGGAGTCTGTGTTCTCAGAAACGAAGATAGTCAGCATGAGTGGATCTGGGACGTTCAAGGCGGGCAAGCTCGAGGAGGAGCTGAAGAACATGGTGCGGGAAGCGACAGGCGATGAGGATACGCTCATGATGAGGGCACAACACAACCAAGAAGACTGTAAAGTGTATGTCGCACCAGTGATCACTCTCAACGCACATAGCTGAGCTAAACTTGTACGTCGACAGTATGGTGTTTGCCATGTCGGAGCACAACATGAACGCTTCAACCCCTCGCATCTTCCGCTCCTACCAGGGTCCAAACAATCAAATGCCAAACTGCCCAATCTGGCAGGTTCTGCGAGCGACCATGGCCTATCCCGAGCTCTTCAAGAGCTTCCAGGTCGGCGAGACCTCCGGAACCCCAGAGCGGCTTGTGGGAGGTGACATCGCATGCAGCAATCCAACTCTCCACGTCCTCGCAGAGTTCAGCGCGTTATACCCGGAGCTTCATGTCGCATCGATCGTATGCATAGGTGCTGGGCACGCACGAACGATTCAGATACCGAAGCCCAACCCGCTACACCGGCTCATGCCGATGAATGTGCTGATGGCGATGAAGGACATAGCGACAGACGGCGAGCGAGTGGCGCAGGAGATGGCAGTGCGGTTCCAGACTACGATGGACGTATACTTCCGGTTCAGTGTAGACCAAGGCATGCAGGACGCGCGAATGAGTCACTGGCAGAGAAAGAGCGAAGTCGCGGCGCACACTAGATCATATCTGCAAAAAGCGGAGGTCAATGGGCAGATCGACAAGGCGGCACAGTCGGTTGCGGCTAGCAAGGGGGTTCTGATGGGAGTGAATATCAGTAAGTTGGCCCTCGTCGGATTGCATGACGTTTCTGAGACATGAGCATAGGTGGGATGGTGCAACAGCCGGCGGTGCAACAGACTACAAGCGTAAAGCGCTGTCCGGCACCCTCATCCGCATTTACCGGTTGCGAGCACCACATCTCACAGGTCGTGAACTGTCTGCTGAGTCGCAATAACGAGCGTCGGGTGTGCGTGATACATGGACTCGGCGGCAGCGGAAAGACACAGGTCGCGCTCAAGTCTGTCGAGCGGACACGAGACAAGTGGGCGGATATAGTCTATGTCGACGCGACTACTCGAGAGTCAGCTATTGCTACGCTCAAGGGATTCGCTCAGGCGAGGAAGATAGGAGAGACGCACGAGGACGCGCTGCGATGGCTGGAGTCCACTTCGCAGTCGTGGCTCCTGGTGATCGACAACGCCGACGACCCAGACCTAAAGCTTCACGACTTCATCCCGGGAGCGTCATACGGGAGCGTGCTGGTTACTACTCGCCTGCGGAGTTTGGCGTTGCTTGGACAAGGACCTGGCTCGGACTGTGGTGTCGGGCAGATGAAGTCCGAGGACGCGATCGAGCTACTGTTGACGAAGGCACGGATGAAAGACCAGCTGCTATCACGCGAAGATAGGGAGTCTGCGGCAAAGCTGGTCGAGGTAAGTCGTGGCGATCTTGGTGATCAAATAGGTCAAACCTCACGTGACTTCTGGTTTTAGGACCTAGGATTTCTGGCCCTCGCGATCGTTCACGCCGGCGCATACATCTTCTGCTCCAAGACTAGCATCGCAAAGTACAGAAAGCAGTGTCTAGACAATACGCGAACGTCGCTGGAGCGGTACAGCAAGCTGGCAGGAAATGCCGAGGAGTATGAAAAGACCGTGTACACGACCTGGGTGATGAGCTACGAGAGACTCAGGCAGCATACACAACGGACTCTAGGACTAATGGCGAACCTGCATCACGAAGGGATCACCGAGGAGATTTTCAAGCGAGCGGCGAGCAACATAGACCGGACTTCGATAATTCCCCCAAACGACGACGAGCTTGCTACACGACAATATGTACGAGACTGTTTGGCGCCATTTCTTGACGCAGACGGAGACTGGGACTCGAACGCGTTCTCGACAGTCATGGACGAGCTAGTGCTGTACTCGCTGATAGACTACGACCGAGTCAACGAGGCTTTCGCTCTACATGTGCTTGTCCAGGACTGGTCCTGCACTATGATACCTCACTCGAAGACGACAGCGCTGATGCACACCTCACATCTCTTGGCCCTGTCGATTGATCGGTCTGATACACTGGAAATGCATACATATCGTAGGGGGCTGCTGGTGCATGTGAGCAAACTGCTGACTAAGCTTCGTCCGAGCAACATAAACGATGCTGAGTACTTCGCCATGGTATACCGCGACAATGGACGATGGAAAGAGGAGGAGGTGCTAGAAGTGCGGGTGGCGGATGCAAGCAAGCAAACACTCGGCGAGCTGCATCGCGACACACTCGCTGCTATGCAATGCCTTGGATCCACATACCGGAGGCAAGGTCGGTGGGACGAGGCGGAAGCGCTAGAGGTGCGGGTACTAGAGGCAAACAAGCAAACACTCGGCGAGCTGCATCCCGACACACTCATAAGTATGATCAGCCTTGCAAACACATACTCAAAACAGGGCCGGTGGGACGAGGCGGAAGCGCTACAGGTGCGGGCATTGGATACAAAAAAGCAAACACTTGGCGGCCTGCATCCCGACACACTCATATGTATGGGCAACCTTGCAGTGATATACGGGAACCAGGGTCGGTGCGACGAGGCGGAAGTGTTAGAGGTGCGGGTGCTGGATGCGAGGAGGCAATCACTTGGCGAGCTACATCCCGACACACTTCAAAGTATGGTTAATCTTGCATGTACATACTCGGAGCGAGGTCGGTGGGACGAGGCGGAGGCGCTAGAGGTGCTGGTACTGAATGCGAGGAGGCAATCACTTGGCGAGCTGCACCCCAGCACACTTAAGACTATGGCCAACCTTGCATGCACATACTCGGAGCAGGATCGGTGGGACGAAGCGGAAGCGCTAGGGGTACAGGTGTTGGATGCCAGGAAGCAGACGCTTGGCGAGCTGCATCCCGACACACTCACAAGCATGTACAATCTTGCATCGACGTATCAGAGTCAAGGTCGATGGGAAGCGGCAAAAACACTCCAGGTCCAGACGGTCGCTGCCTACAAGCAGGTTTTCGGCGAACAACATTGGGAAACACTAGCGGCCATGGAGCTTCTTGCCAGCATTCGCGAATCGCAATAACCACGACGCGTACACAAGCCGAGTAGCTGGCTGAGGTGGAAATAGAGAGCACGCGAAGCACAGCGATCTAAACGCTTGATTCTTGGATGGACCAAGTTGACCTCGCTTCTGTTGCTATCCGTCATTTGGATTGTTCTTGGCTTTACACGCTTTGGTTCTGTACAGACAGATGTACTGGTGTCGAGTAAGTTCTCTTATGTACTATGTATGTATGCGGAACTAGTTGGGTTATCATTGTACTATCATCTCACAAACCGCCGACTTGACTTTGGGTATACATTGTTTCTTGATTGCAGTAGCAAGCCGCTATGGAGGAGCCGGCGCAACCAAACAATGAGACCTAAAAAACAGATCAGCCAGGCAAGTCAAGGAAGCGTGGCCCAATC